TCCTTTTTTGGAAAGACATCTAAATTTATCTTGAAAAAAGCTTGCAGAAAATACAGATTTTTGAGAATCACCCTTCAATCTTTTGTTTTACTTTGCTGAATATAGCAAATGACAAAATAACCATTTGAAACAAGATAAATGGTCTATGCTTAATTTCATGAAGTGTGCCATTAATCGCGATTAATCACAGAAAAAGGGTGTGATTAATCTGATTAAAAATTTTAATCTATTGACAGCCCTAATATATATACATATATATGGTTTAAATTAAGTTAAAAAAAATAATGTTTCAAGTATTGAATTATTTAGAAATTGTGTTGCACAATTTAAGTGTAATTTTTTTTTGGCCTTTCACCATTTTTATTCATAGAGACTATGTGAAAGACAATAGGAACTGAAGATAAAATTAAATTGTATTAACTGTACTTTTTTTTTTTTTTTTTTACATTTTTGGTAGGCTTTCCATAGACCAATTAATCAAATGCCTAAGATATATAGAAATATCACCATCAAATGTTTGTTTGGAAGATTGGGCTTCACAAAACCTAATTATTTGTTAAAATAAAAGGTATGGAAAATTTTGTTTGACTTCGTTGAAACTTTTTTTGTGTGTATATGTGTGTGTTTTAGAGGGCTACAAAAGTGTCCGCTGTGTTCATATTGAATGTAAACATTGAAACATTATTCACATGACACCTATATCGTAAAGCAGATTCTCATTATGAAGTTTCACTGTTTGCATTAGCATAGCCTCTGCTGCTTTAAGTTGCAGAGGCCTGAGCACATTGCCGATTGTCATAACTGCTATTGTGTTAATGCTCTCAATGCCTTATTAGCCTCTCTGGTTACAGCAGAGGAAGGCCATCCTCAGGTCTTTTAGCTCCAGGAGCTGGGACGTGTTCTTCTGGATGCGGCATTTTTGCATTGTTACCTCACCGTGGCCGTAAATAATCTCTCTTATGGCTTCCAGATGTCCCCTTGCCAGAGGAGTGGATGTGGGAACACACACTCAAGGCCTAGTATTCCTCTTTGCATCCTCCTTTGCACACAAGCCTGTCCCCAAATACAGCGGGAAGGGCAAATTTACACAAGCACGCGCAGATTCTCACGAGCACCGTGTCACGCACACACTTAACAAGTCTGGTAGGAGACACAAAGACGGGACGTGTTTTTCCAGTCCCACAATGCCAATGAGTTTAGTCTGACACTTTCTTTTAAAACCTCTGTATTTGTACTTTGCATAAATGTTGTCCCTTTGTACCAGGGTTAATATCATTAACTAAAACTGAAACTAAAACTTTCACTACTTAAATATAATAAATATTAACTGGAAAAAAATGTGTGTGTGTGTGTATAAATAATTTTTTATAAAATGTATAAAAACTATATAGACATATTAAAAAACAAAATTACTAAAACTTTAATAAAAATAGAATTAAAAATAAAATCTTATTCATAAAACAAAAAAATGATACTAAAATAACAGTGGTTTGTACACCCTCTCTAATACCAACTATTCTTTGGAAAGGATCATAAACAGCCATACAGTGAACAATGTGGTGGAGAAGTTTACATTTACAGCACTGCAGATTACCTCACTCTCATTTGTCATGGCAACCGTTGCTATGTTTGGCATGCCCGTGTTGTTTTATTAGGTTTTCAGGTGAGTGATACTGTATAGCTATTGGTCTGCTGCCAAAATTAAACAAGAGAAGCATCACTAAAGCTAATATTGTTATCCCACTGATCCTTGGATACATAGGGCGGAGCTGGCTTCATGATAATCACATGGATTTCTCCGTGGATGGGCCCCTCGCTCAGTCTATGTTTATTTGTTTTTACTCTCTAAAGAGCCTTGCAGGTCCCCATTATGATGTGGTTACAGGTGATTCATTCTTGTGGAGTGTTTTATTCAGTGGTTGTTTTGCAGTCCATGCTGTTTGTGGAACAGAGGAGTTATGAGCGTTATGCCTGATTGTATGCAGTCAATGGTGTGTATGATGAAACGCGTGACTCCCACTGCAGTGGCACACTTATTTTAACATGTGGCCGCTGCTTACTCGTGTCAAAACTGTTGAAAGTTTCTTAGAGGTCAAGCGTGGCTGATTCTATCCAGGGATGTCTGAGGTTATTTTTACTCTGTCTCAGTGGTAAGGCTGGGCGGTACGAATTTGATACATCCAGTTAGAATTTAGCATCTAAATTATCGTTTTTTCCCCCTCCATAATGTGAGGCTGTTTTTGAACTGATGCCAGACTTACCATTATCTTCAGGTTTGTATCTATCAAGTTCCAAAAAAAAAGGGAATCCAATGAAATATGCCTTTATAAGTATAACTTTTATAAGTATTTTTATTTATTTTAGATTTTATTTATTAAGTATTTTATTGATTTATTAATTTTTATTTAAATAAAATTCAAAGATTCAAATAATAAGATCTTGTTACAGTTTTTATTTACTAATTTAGTTTAATTCAATTTTCCAGTATATATACACACATATATATATATATATACACACACATATAAAAACATACAAGTATAAACATATAATATAATAGTAGTAGTATAGTGTATAATGTATTTATTATTATTATTATTATTATTTATTTTGCTGGATAATGTAGATCTTTTTCTTATTATTCAATTATATATTCACACAGTTGTGATATTGAACTGATGCCAGACAGTAGACATTATCTTCAGGTTTGCATCCATCAAGTTCCAAAAAATACAAAATTTAATCAAATGAAATATGCCTTTATAAGTATAACTTTTATAAGTATTTTTATTTAAAACAATAGATTATCCAAAAATAGGCATTGGCAAATGTTTATTTAATTTTTATTTAAATAAGATACAAAGATCAAAATAATAAAATCTTATTACAATTTTTATTTACTAATTTTTAGTGTAATGTTTCATTCAAATTTTCATTCAAAATTCATAATATATACACACACACACACACACATACATACATACATGTTACATATTTCCAGCAAAAATATATCCGTATAAACATATCATATATAATAGTATAAGTAATAATTTAAATATACTTTTTAATTAATTAATTAATTTATTTATTTATGTTTGTTTAATTTAGCTGGAAATGTAGAATTTTTTTCTTATTAAATAATATATACACACAGTTGTGATATATATACCATCTTTATAAAAAATTACTCCTAGCATGATATAATGCTTTGGTTACACTACCTATCCCTTGTTCAATAGTGTTTACACATTGCTGGTATTATTAGCTTGTTTTTAGCTGTCAGCAGGATGTGTGATAGAGTAGCTGGTCTGTGATATGTGACTGTGACGACTGTTAGATTAGCAGTGGGTCAGTGCTTAAGTGTAATTACAGTAGTAATGTGGAGCAGTTCTGATGAGATGTAATGACCTGGCTGGAGGCTTGCTGGGACCAAAATGCCTTGGAGCCACCAATTGTACCTTGCTGATCTACCCACTTATTTGCTCTGAAAGACAGATGCTGCCTGGAACTTCAACAGACAATGACCCCTTAAATAGAATCAGAATATTGTGTGGGAAACATTTTATTTATTCTTAGTTTATATTATTAGATAGTAAAAATAAGGAGGTTTTATAGAAGTAATTATAGAAGAAATTTAGACACTTAAACCACTTAAAAATGCACACGTCATTGCATTATATAAAAAATCTAACTGACTTTAATGAAAGTTAGCTAAAACGCATTTTAGTTGGTAAAACATTTATAAAAAATAGTTTTTAAAATATACAACAATTCTACATTCTGACACCTATGTGACTTTTTTTGAATTTCTTTCTTCTGCACAATCCAATATTGCTATAGCAACAGAGCCGCCCCACCCTGTGTGCTTAATGCTGATTGGATGAGAGTTTATGGACTAAACTGAGTCTGCAGCAGTGGCACTGTGCTCCCATGGAAAGATTTTGCAACAGAACACCTCAGTAATGTGTATGAGAGCCATTAGATGAGGCTGAGCTTTGTTAAAAAGATGTTTTAGGAAGGTCATGCTTACCTCATTCTGAGATGCTAAGTTTTAAGCTGCATAGACTCTGATGATGGCAGGTGTGGGTGGGTGGATGGCAGGTGTTTATCCTCTTGTTGAGGATAAACACGGCAGACTTTTATCCTTATCGCACTGCGGTTGAGATCATCTCCTCCTCTGTTCCCATGTTTCCCACCCTGGGAATAACACGCACAATATTGCTACAGTAGAAGAATTAATTATTTTACGTAATATTTACAACAAATTGTTTAAAATAGTAGTTAATTTGACAAAAAAAAAAAGTTAAGAATAACTCTGAAAACAGTAGCTTTTCATAAATAAATGAAATGTTAATAACTGTTCAAAATGTTGGGGTCAGAATTTTTTTTGAAAAAAATCTCTTCATCAAGGTGGCATTTATTTAAAAAAAAAAAAGTATTACTGTGAAATATTATTACAATTTAAAATAATTTTTTCTATTTTATAAAATGTAAAATATAATGTATTTCTGTAGTGGCAAGGCTACATTTTCAGCAGCCATTGCTCAAGTCTTCAGTGTCACATGATCCTTCAGAAATCATTCTATTATGCTGATTTGGTGCTCAAGAAACATTTCTTCTTTTTTTTTTTATCAATGTTGAAATCAGTTCAATACATTATGATACATTATGTCAGGATACTTTGATGAAAAGAAAGTTCAAAACGTTATATTTTAAAATATATTTTATTTATTTTGATCAAAATGCATCTTTGCTGAATAGAAGTATTTTTATTTATTTATTGTTTTTTTTTTAATCTTTCTGACCCCAATCCTTTGAATGGTAGCATATTTTTCTATAAGTTTTAACAATTTCTGTATTTGTATTATTATTTTGTAAAAATTTTTTTTAGCTCCATCCCACACATACTGATTTTGTCCCCTTTCTTTTCTGTTTTTTTATTTTACAGTCAAACCTTTCACATCCAAGGTGAAACAGATGCGCTTGCACAAGGAAGATTTCGAGATCCTGAAGGTGATTGGACGGGGAGCGTTTGGAGAGGTATTTATTGTTCTCACTCCATTTGGAACAATGTATTGTTTTTTTTTAGCTCCCATAACAGCCCCTTTGTATTATTTAATGAGTTAATATACTGCTTTACCATAAGCACAGGTATGTTGCAGAGTAAGGACATTCTTCATGCAGTACTTTTGAGAGCCCGAGGCAGTTGATGTTCTTTTGTAATGACAGATGTGTGATGTAGTCACTGGGGAATGTGTGGTGCACAGGTAGGCCAGGAAACCAGCACTATTAGGTTACTTAGTGAGGCCTGGCTGTTCAGAATGGCCCATGAAGTGGGAACATTGGATAGCAGCCATGTTTTAAAACCCCAGCAAATGGTTTATGGAATTTGTATTCAGGTTTTATTTTCGCAGTGACTGAACACTTGGACGTTTCCAAGTTGAGTTGAAGGAATAGTTCACCCAAAAATAAAAATTTGATCATTATTTACTCACATATTTTGTAACCAGTGCAGCTCCTTTTCTTCCGTGGAATACAAAAAGTTAATATTTGAGGAATATCTTTGCAGCTCTGACTTGCAAGTGAAAAAGTGAAAGTGAAGTGATGTGTAGCCAAGTATGGTGACCCATACTCGGAATTTGTGCTCTGCATTTAACCCATCCAAGTGCGCACACACACAGCAGTGAGTAGTGAACACACACACCCACACACACACACCCGGAGCACTGGGCAGCCATTTTTTTTTGCAGCACCTGGGTAGCAGTTGGGGGTTTGGTGCCTTGCTCAAGGGTCTCACTTCAGTCGTGGAA